AAAAGCTTACCTGAAGCACTGGCTTCTAAGCTAAGACATCATGGGTGACCATCAGTCAGCCACTGGAGGCTTCCATCAGCAGGAAGAGCAGGAGCAGAGGCTGAAGGTGAAGACAGCATGGTCCATCTGGAAAACTAGAGCTCAGGGAGACATGGGTGTGGATTACAGAAGGGGATAAGGGTGAACTGCTTAGCTGCGCAGGATCTTGAAAACTGGGGGGAGTCTGGATTTGTCCTGTAGGCACTGGGGAGGCAGGGAGGGTCTTGACATGCTCTGACTTGTCTCTATTCCCATTCTCTATTCTTTGGCCCTACCCAGAAAAATCCCAATGCCCAGGGTCCTCATCCTTTGGGAGAAAAGTGGGACCTTATTTTAGCATCAAATCCCTAGTCTTGAATTACACCAGTGACTTCAGAGACCCAGGGCCCCTGGCTCTGCCTAGTGCAATGGCCACCTCCCTCATTTCATATTAAGTGAGAGTTAGGGGTCATGTTGGGTGGTGAGGTAAGGGTCAGTTTCTCCATTCAATAGTCCTGTCCTAACTTTAGAGAGAAGCAGAGATGTGGCAAATAAAGACAGAGACAAACTGAGAAGGATAGAGTGAGTGAGAAACAGAGAGAGAGAGAGCCAAAGAGAGACAGAGGGAGAGAGAGACAGGAGAGACAGTGGCAGAAAGAGACAGAGAATGAATGTACCCTAATAGAGGGAGATGGAGGAAGAGGAGGAGGAGAGAGAGGAAGAAGAGGGAGAGAAACAGAGAGAGGAAAAGAAGAGTTGCCTAAGCAGAGAAGGAGAAACACTGAAGGAGAGAAAAAGGAACAGTAGAGGGAGATGAAAAATAAGAGAGAACTGCAGACAAAATCATATCCAAATAGACAGAGACAGAGAGTTAAACAAGACTGAAAGCAGAAAAAAAGAGGAGAAACAGAGCCTGACAGGAAGTAAAGACAGAGAAAAAGACTGAGGCAGATGGCCTGGGGCAGAAAGACAGAGCCAGCCAAAAGGTGTCAAAAGAGCCAAAGGGCATCCAACTGGACCGCCCCAGGGATGGGGAGTGTGGGGTGGGAGGGAGGGAGCTGGAGTCAGGCTTCCCAGGGAAGAGCTGGGTTGCAGAACCAGTTACAGGAGAAGAACCAGCTTGTGGCCCTGTATTTCTAAGTTCACGTGCCCCCACTTTTGGATATGCCAAAGAGATGTGGACCCTTCCCCGGACACCTGCACTCAGGTACAATGTCTAACGAATTGGAAGGCTTAGGAAATGTCTGGAAATGCATCCTTGAAATGACCTTCCCAAGGTTGTCGGCTTGCAGATTAAGAACCATGAAAACAAGGGAGGGGTTCTCAGTGTTCCTGTCTGTTTTTCTGGCTCCCCTTGTCCTCATTTCTCTTCAAGCCAGTGGTTTATAACTATTGAGGAGAAGGGGGTGGTTCTCATACCTCTGAGAATCTGATGGAAGCCAGAGACGCCCATTCCCATGTGCATCAGTCCTATTCACAGTTTTATGTACAATTTGGCTCTTTCCAGAACTCTTGGGGCCATGACTCTCAGGCTGAGATAAGAAGAAAACCCAGAGATGCACAAACATAGACAGTCCAGATACACACCTCGCACACACATGCCCCACCACACACACTGAGAAACATACATGAGGTACTAACTACATGTATAGGACCCTTAGTCTGGGCCAGGTATTGTTCTAAGAATTTTAACAAACATTCACTTCTTTAACCTCAAAATAGCCCTACAAGATAGGTACCATTCTTCCCATATGAGATATGAGGGACATTAAAAATGTTAAGTCAGACGTATGCGCACAGCTACATGTGGACGCAGACACAGACACACACACACACACACATACCCAAACAGAAGTGGTTCCTCATGTTCTGTGGGGCCACTGAATGCTTTGGAAATCTAAACTGTACCTGCAAACTCTGTCCTGGAAAAATGCGCAAGGTGTACCCACCCAGCGATTTGCACCTGCTTTCAGAGGGTTTGGGAACGCTCCAAGAGTCTACCATGAACTGCAGGTTAAGGGCCAATCCCATGCGAATCTAGGGCAATGGACACAGGTGTCCGGGCTTTGGGATGCAACAGGGCAAAGAATGTGCATCCGCCCCCTGTCAACACTGCAAACTTCTGTGCCCACAGGGAAGCGCATCTGTCTTGGCGAAGGCATCGCCCGCGCCGAGTTATTCCTCTTTTTCACCACCATCCTCCAGAACTTCTCCGTGGCCAGCCCCATGGTCCCTGAGGACATCGACCTCACACCCAAGGAGAGTGGTGTGGGCACAGTGCCCCCGACGTACGAGATACGCTTCCTGCCCCTCCAAAGGGGCTGAGGGAAGGGGGTCCAACCCTTTCAGGGTCATGTGTGTCCCCACCTCTGCAGAGAATGGCCCTTTGACTCGCTCCCTGTCTTCCTGCCTCTGAGAGACCAGCTGTAAGCCAGCATCCTCCCACTCCTTGGGTGCCACCTCCCTGGGAGAGTCCCATCTGCAGTCTCACCCCCTCTCATCCTGCTGCAGCTCTTCTAAGGTATCAGAGAAGTTTTCCTTTCCGCTGTTAATAGAATCCAAGAAGTGGTGACAATAAAGAAACTGGCACTAAAGGGGGAAACTTAGCTCAGGGTCTCTCTGTAGTTCTGCCTCTCAGGTCACTGCTCACCCTGAGTGACTTCTCTCTTCCTCAGAACAGTGAGAACTTCCATTTATTAACTCCTTATGCACCATGATCTGTGCATACACAATCTCACTTGAGTCCTCCTTCCAGCAGCTCCAGGTGGTGGGCACAATGATCATGCCCATCATACAGATGGATAAACAGAGGCCAGACAATGGCATCAGTTGTCCAAGGACATGTGGCTAGTGAATAGAGAAGCAAGATTCACACCCTGTGTCCCTGGCTCTTGACTTCAAATTCTTCACACGGCTCCTTTCTGCCCTTGACATACAGTTTAAAATCAAGTTGACATTCACATCAAGTAACTAACCATTTTAAAGTGTATAATTTAGTGGTATTTAGTTCATTCGCAATGTTGAGCACTCACCATCGCTAGTGCCAAACATTTTCATGACTTCAGAAGAAAACCCTGTCCCCATCAGTCCTCATTCCCCATTCTCCTTTTTGCTCCATCCCTGGCAACACCCATCTGCTCTCAGTCCTTCTGGATTTGCCTGTTCTGCATATTTCATACAAACAGATCATGAAATGTGTGCTCTTTAGTGTCTGACTTCTTTCTCTTAGTGTGATGTTTTCGAGGTACATCCATGTTGGGGACCATGGTTATACACAGCGGAGTCCTCTCTCATCCTCATCTTCCTGCATCTCCCCACCTTTTCCCTCTATGATGGACCCCTAGGCCCACTGCCCCCTGAGCTGTGCAGCTCTACATTGGGACCTTGGATTCCCCGATACTCCCTTTCATAACCCCTGAGACTCAAATAAACACCCAAAGCCTGACATCCCTGGGCCAGGTGGTGATCCATGCCTTTTTACGTGGGACCCATTTATTACCAGGTCACTGGTGATCTTTTCAGAAGGTGAGAACAGCTCCTTCACCTCAATGCCTGTTCCTTGAAGGAAAACTTGTCTTGTTTATCACTCTGCTCTCAGCACCTGGAGCAGTGTGTGGTATGTGACAGGTGTTCAAAATATTTGCCAAGGAGTGAAT